CCTTTCTCCAGCGTGCTATCTTCCAGAAAGGTCCTCATAGTCTTGCCTGGTGTGGCTGCTGTCAGAGGTCCCCACTGCATCTCCTGGTATTGTGGCCAGTGGGGCTTTAGGGCTTGAGGTCCCTGCAGAGGACTCTATCTGTGTGCATTCTTCTCTGGCTTCCCGTCTGCCTGAATCTAGGCTCTGACAGAGCTGCCTGCCCCTTTGGGACACTGATGGTCTGGTACACCCTCAACTACAGGGAGCTATTACAAAGAAAATAGATTGCTTGGACAATTACAAAGGTTTAAGAGACCACCAAGAACAGTTAAACAGTGGGGTTCATCTACACGAGGCCAATCCTTCAAGACCAGCAAAGGCAGCTGTTTTATCTATGGAATGGGAACCAAAACAATCAAACAAAAAGAAGAAACAAAGGAAGATGTTTCAAACCAAATTATAAGATAAAATGGGGGGGGGGGGAACCTTAATAAAATGTGATTAGAATGCCCTAAAAATGAAAGATACCTTGGGGGCATTCATTTTAAATAAGAAATTTAGTCTCCTTACTGTCTTGATTTTGACAGTATTTCTTTTTTTATTCTGTTTATTTTCTATTAAAATAATAAATTAAGCCAGTTTCTATTCATTTCCAAATCACTCTAGAACAACTCTGAGAATATCTTTATAATAATTTTTAAGAAATTAATAAGTGAGTGAGCATGGTAGGAATTCTTCATCTTGCAATGTTGGAGTATAAGATTTTCCCAAATAACTGTGGTAGCTGTAATCATGTGATGCTTGTCTCGGAAGCAAGAATGCTGCAGTGGTGGGTTAGCGGGATCGTCCCCATCTGCTTTGGTGTATTTGGTCTTTTTGAAATAGCAAATGAAAAGGGCCTCCGAGAATCAGCAGATATCAGCAGGCAGACTTCAGGAAGGGCGTCCTGGAGAACGGGAAAATCTCATCAAGGCCCAGCAGCTGCATTATTGTATTGAGGTCACCAAAAGTACTTTGATATTTTCACTTAATGATAGGCCTAGGTGGTTAGTGTGAGATGACATTTCATTGGACCCACTATGTTCAATAGCCAAGATTTAACAAAAAAAATTTCTCCTTTTCATCATAATATCTTTGGAGACGTGCTTGTTTTCTCACATATGTTTTATTTAATTTCCTAAGTAGAACACCTTAAAAGGGCTTACCGCCATCAACATGTATTGTTGAGTACAGTATCATGGACTTTCATCTTTAAGAGAAGTAGTTTTCAAATCATGAGTTGGAATAACATTATAGGACAAGATAAAATTCTTCTTTATTAATTTCAAAGAGGTAATTTAAATGCCATTTTAGAAACTATTTTTTGAGAGATATGACAAAAATTGAATAGGCAACAACAGTATATTCAAAAGTTCTTTTATTCAGAAGGAGACATTCTGTACTCACAGTTGCACTCTTTCTAAAGGACATTTTCTGTTCAGTCTTTGTTTGCACATATCAAAGAAGAAAAGCAACGAAGAAATAAATTGTTCCAACATACATATTCTTGCCACAGAAATGGTTTGACTTCACAAACTTATTTTTTGAAGTGGGTTGAACAATCAATTTTTATTCATTTTCCATATTTTCTGGAAAATAATGTATATTCGTTGATGTTCTATACATGTCCATTAAGTCTGTTTGTTAATTGGGCATATTTGCATATATGGTCAGTCCTCACTGCTCTCCCCCCGCCCAATCTATTAATTAATAAAGGTTTGCTAAAATGAACCTCACTGAAATGGTACACTTTTAATTTCTTCTTGTAGTTCTGTCAGTTTTATTTTATATAATTCCATGACATAGAATACTTTCTCTTACCTATAAGCTTAGAAATGAGAGTAATTAAAATGTTATTGATGTGTTTTGATCCTCATTTCTTTAATAATGACTGTGTTGTATTAAAGTAAATATACTTTAGTAATAGGACTAACCCAGTTTTCCTATGATGGGGATTGTCCTGGTATATATTTTACCCTCATTTTACTTTCAACCTTCCTATGTCTTGAGTTTCAGGTGTTCCTCTTTTGAACAGAATGTAGCTGGTTGTTGAAGTGATTTTAAATCCAATCCGGAAATAGTGATCTTTTCAGTTTATTTACATTGAATGTTAGATGACAATGTCTGGATTTAATTTTCTATATGGAATTATAGGCAATATTTCCCCCTTGCTATGATTCGTTCTTTTATCCTTTTCCCGTTCTGTGTCTTGTTGAATTGATTTCATTATACTACCTTGCAAGTATTCCCTCTACTGGTTTAGGATAGGGGTCAGCAAACTATAGCCTAAGGGGAGAATCCCACCCACCAGCAGCTTTGGGAAAGAAGGTTTGACTGGCATACAGCTACACATACTGGTACACGCGCTGTCTATGGCTGCTTTCACGCCACAGCAGCAGAGCTGGGCAGTTGTGTCAGGAGCACAGAGCCTAAAATATTTACTGTCATGTCTACAGAAAAACTTTGCAAATCCTGGTTTAAAATATACTTCCGAATTTGTGTTCTGAGGTTAACAAGTCTCATGTCATCGGTGTCATCAAGTAAAATGCAAAACCTATATTTCCAACCATCTGCCTTCCATCACACATTCTATAGCCGCCTGTGTTTTACTGTATTTAACCCTGTTTGATGCTGTTTAACTCTCTTTTGCTTTTTAAAACAATTGTTAGATATTATTCCTGTCTACTCTCAGTGTATCACCTACCTAGCTCATCATTGTCGCATATTTTTCCGTTTGGGGTTAATTTTCTATCTTCCTGAGGTGTAATCTTGAGCAATGGCTGAGCTATTGATAGTAGATTTTCTATCCGTTTTTCTCTGCCCTGATTTTTGAAAGAGTTTTGCTGGATATAGAATTCTAAACGACAGTCATTTTTTCTTAACAATTTGAAGGTTGTAATTACCTGTTGACAAACACCCAAGTCGAGAAGTCAGCTTGATGGAGAGATCATCTGTTAGCCACTAAATTGTCCCTAATTCTCAGGAATACTGATTAAATGGATGTTAGAATTCCCTTCAATCCTCATGTACGTCAAGGCCTTTTAGATTTTGCATCACTTTATCTGTCTCATAACTGCCTCTTGGATAACTTCTTCAGACCTACCTTACAGCTCAGTATTTTCTCTCATCAGTAATATCTAAGCCACTATTTAACACATACCATAAACTTTAGTGAAGTCTTATATTTTTCCTTCCCAGAGGTTCTAGTGGTTCATTTAAAATACAAGGTGGGGCAAAAGTAGGCTTACAGTTGTTCGGAAGGAAAATAATACAATCATTAATAAATAATGATATAAGAATAAACTCTATTTTGCATCCTCACAACTATAAACCTGCTTTTGCCCCACCCTGTATTTAATATTTATGTTTTAAAGCTCTCATTTTTAAAACACATAGAATACATTTATTTATAATATGTATATATGTTTGTGTGTGTGTGTGTGTGTGTGTGTGTGTGTTTCGTTAAAGAGAATATAAGTACATATAATCTAAAACATCTTAATTGCCTTGTGGATCAAGGTAGAGAAGTATTTTCCTGTTTGAGCTTTTTCTATAATTACCTGCAGGAAAATAAACACAGTGCAGCTTTTTAAGTAGGTTCTGTAATATTTCACCAAGTAAAAGTAGCCACACCCAACTACACCATAACATTGAGTTCTGTTTTGAGATTGGTTGAGTCTTGAGGCTGTTTCTGCAGTGTTACCTTTCTCACCTTCCTGCCTGCAAAATGTGAGGCTGTCGTACATCTACCCAATGCTTCCTCCACTGTGCACACACATGGACCTTGAGGCTAGCTAGCTTTGAGGTTACCCACCTTTGTCAAACTGAAATGAAGATGCAAAGGTTAAGGTGCAAATTTCTAAATTTCTAAAATTTCTTTGTCATTTCTATTGGCTATATCTAATCTGGTTTCTCCTGTCTTTGAAATTTCCATCTTTCAATAAAACCTTTAACAAATATTATAACCGCCTTTGAAAAAATTTTTGCAAAACCTTTGCTCTGTTTAAATGACTAACTTGGATACAGTGTCACTTTCCTGCCTAAATAAGAGTAAATACTGGATCTCTTACTTGCCCTACTTTCTCTTCAATTATGATCTTAACCACTTGATAAAATACAGATGCATAGATATATATTTAGCAATGTATATGCTTTATTGGCAAAGCCATCTTCACTTGTAACTTTTGAAAGTTTGAAGGAAAAAAAAAAAACATTGAAAAGGAGGTAATCCGAGATGGAAATTGGATGATAGATTGAACACTTGACTGAATGGTTACGAGATGGTAACTTGTGTTTGGGAATGAGGATTTCTTCTGCCTTGAATGGAGCTGCAGCATGAGCTAATTATTCATCGTAAATGTCTTGGGAGATGATATTTGCCAGACTGTATAGTAGCCAGTACTGTCTGGCTCCGATTCGATGATAGTGATACAGGGATTACAAAATGAGATGAAAGTAATTTTGAATTTTCTTTTTTGTGTTTTTCTTATTTCTTTAGTTCAATATAGACATTTACTTTTGCCTTAGTTTTAAAGAATTTGAGAATTTGTGATTTATACCCTTCTATTTTCAAAAAAGATTAGGGACACATCACAATGCAAAAATACATAAAGCAGAAAAATTAGAAAACAAATACACAACAGACAAATAAATATATAACTAGCTTAAAAGATTTGATTAGATTGAAGCCTAATAAAAAAGGCCAAGTTATTCTGAATTCTAGTAACAGCTTGAGTACAATCAAAGTAATACTAAGAAGATACTAAAATACTTATTTGATAATATGTGACTGAACATATGTGCATATATGTATATCCACATATACATATAATTTGAAAAAATATGAAAATACTAATGCCAATAATCTCTGATCTTAAATGAAAGAGAACAAGTGAGGTACTGTCCCATTCTAATCATCTTTGCTTTTTAAAATTTCTCTTTGTTGTTTGAACAGATTAAGAAAATATTTTATTTATCTAATTTTGCTGTGCTTATTTAACAGTGAGTTACTTATTAATACAAAAACTAGTTTTGACCATTAAAAACAAGATAACGAATCATGTACTCCACACACTTTTATATCTGATATTCTTATAGTCTCAGTTTGACGTACGTATCGTTACCTCTTAAATAAAGAGTCAAATCAAGAAGCACAATAGAAACTAGCATCACAAGTTTAATATATTTTAAAATATAGAAATATATTTAAACAGCACATTTAAAGAATAATATAATAGACTTCCGTTTCTTATTCTTACAATGGTATGCCATTAATTCAAAAATATATTACTTAATGTACCCCCCCAATATAGTTATTATCAAATCTTTAAGATAAACTGTATTTTAAAACAACATTGCAATATACCTGAATTACAAACAAACCTATAACATTTTTGAAGCTATTTCTATGTTTATCTGAAAGATCCAAAAGGGTGATTAATAAATGGTGTTTTATGAATATTCTAGTTGAACTCCAAATAGGCCTAACTGGAGCCACCATAAACAGCCAGTTATCCCTCTAAATGTCCTTCTTTAAGAAATCAGTGTGTGTTAAAGAAACGTCTTAGAAGGCACAGGGAGACACAGAGAGAGAAAATAAATTAATTTCAGAGAGAACACACATGCTCATACTCACAACAGAACCTTCCCGTTTGGAATTATTTGTGCTCGGAGGAGGGTTTACAAAATCCCCTTACAAAATAAGGTTTTCATTGAGCTCATTCGCAAAGATATGAAAAATGGATTTCAGCTGTTCTTTCGAAATGGCAATTCTGTCAAAGCCATTCTGAGATTTTTGGTAATTTCCTCCAGTTTAGTTTCAGTGCTTTTACCCTAAATAAAATCCCTTGCATCACATCAATCAGCGGACTCAGTTATAAAGGAGAGCTAAAGAAAATGGCTCTGTCGGCATCTTGCTCCAGTATATTTTATGTATGCAGTGACTCTTGCCTGTGGGGAAGGAAGTGGAGCACATGTAAATTTTTCTTTATTTTGGACTCCTTTTAAATCAGGAAAAAAAAAAATCTGCAGCAGTAGTGTTCTAGATAATAGGCAGACATGATTTATTTGAGGTAAGAAGGTTGTACTGCAATTTTTTAGTGTTAACTTGGAAAGTTATGGACACAGGCTCAAGCCTGTCTCCACAGAGTTCCTGAAGCTTTGAGCTCTTTGCAAAATCTGCAGTCCGCAAGCCAAGAAGGAACATGCTCCTTCAGTTACACCAATTCTGCTAAAGCAAACGGTTATAACAATTATGTGCAATCTTTCAGATTCTATGTTCTGCCTACCGTTTATTTATTCAAATCCAGTTCAACATTTCACTTTATCTAATGAAGCAGAAACTCTACAAGAAAAATTGTGTTTATCCAAGCATTTTTGTTTGGGTGGTTATTTTTTTTTAAGTTATATTTCTAAATAAATATCCTATCATAGTTTTTATTGGCACAACATAACCAAATGCATTCAGTTTCCTTCAACAATATTTAATGGTAAAAGGAGTTATAATTGCAAAAAATATATATAAAAATTGTATTAGAAAAAGATGTTAAAATGGAATTGGACTGGACTTAGCATATCTCATTGGAAGTTATACTGGGCATTCTATTGTATAACATAGTGACCTATAAAATAGATTTTATTGATAAGGCATCTACAAAGGAGAATATATACCTTTAAATAAATAAAAGTGACTATATACATGATATTGTACATAGGTAGAGATGAAATGAGCCAGACTAATTTTACAAAATTCTCCTTTTGTCTGAAAGTATACTTTTTATTGTAGTCTTAATACAGATCTCTTTCTTATTCCCATTATTATTTAATATTAGTGGCAGCCACATGAGCGCACTACCATATTTCTGTATTTCTTCAAAATGACGTTGGAGCTGTCATCAAAGTATAGCACAGAGATGGCATTTAATTTGGTTGGAGCACAACAAGGCTTTGGTACATGGTCAGGAAACATCAGATGAACCTGGGAAAGAAAAAAAAATGTTTTGTTTTGTTTTAAGAAGTAGATATTTTGTCTACAGTTTTAAAACAATATGCTTGTCGTATACCTCACCATCAGGCATACCCTTCTGCTCACCACTATTACCCTCTTTGTGTTCAGGAGCTGGGGTGGGGTGAGGGACTGGTAGTAAAAGATGTATTTTTAAGCACTGACACCTAGAATCAACCCAGTAGTTCTAATTATGTGTTGGGGTCTTGAAAAATGTTCAAACAAGAAAAGAAACTACCCTCTACAGAAAAGCCAGTGGAAGTTCTCCTGGGAAAAAGAACATGGCAACTGGTACTGAGTTGCTTTTGGTTAAAACGACTTCTATTTACTTCATGAGAAACACAGAAGTTATAAATGTACTTCAATAAAGCCACGCAATTGGACTATAGAAAGTTTTGGGTCTAAGAATTATTTTTTAAAGGATAATTAAACAATAAGTCATAAAAGTTAGACCAACTCTTAATTTTCCATGGTAAAGGCAACTTAAATATCACAGCAAAATAAACTCCAGCTATAATCCAATACTTGCTTTCAAGCAATGTTTCAACTCTTCTCCACAGGATTTTTTAGCAGATTGGCTAGAGTTTAACAGCCTTTTATTTTCTTTCTCCCCTAGACTAACACCAAAACGCAAGCTAAGCTAAATCAGAAGTTAAGAGCCTAGATATTTTACAAATTGAATATCCATCCCCCCCCAACAGCCTAAAAAGGTGGTTGTACTTGGAAAATAAAAAGCTTAAATTAAAGGTTTATTCTCATTTTGATCAGACTGGCAGTCTGCCTATGGTTTGATCAGGGAGTCTGAACCTGGTTCCCCGGTTCCCACCCATCTACCCTAGTCCTTCCCTCAGAGGAGTTTATGGGAAGTCCCATTGATGAGTCCTAAGGGATCTACAAAAAGCAAATATAGCCTCTTAGAGTTTGGCCGCACTATGTCCTGGCTGAAATGATATAAGAGCCCTGCATGTGGACAGACACAGCAGAAAAAAATGAGGTGATCTGACATGAACTTGAAATTTCTAAGACCTCCCAAAACTAAAAGTTGGATAGTTTCTACAAATGTTGGATGCAGCCTGTGTCCCTCATCAGTTTTATCTTCCGTAACATACACATACATGATCGATCACCCCATTTCATTGGGGCTTGGCAGCTTCCAAAGTAGTCGCTTTGGAAAAAAAAAAAAAAAAAAGCAGATAGTTCTTGAATGGTTTCTCAAACATATTAGTCACAAACATGCTCTCCTTTAACAACAAACATGCCTGTCTTCTTGTTTCTTGTCCTTCGCAGAACAAACGTAGAGAGTGCACAATGCCAGGAAAAAATAAAATAAAACTTCCCATGTACACTCTAGTTTTGTGATGACTTATGTCCCATATTCCGGGACAGTGATGCTGAGTGGGATCTTGTTCCAAGTGCACGTAAGACTTTTTTCTTTAAGTGTTTGTTTTCCGACACTGCCTTCCAGACTACAGCACTAAAAGCTGACAATATGTAATTATATATTTATAAGAAGAAAAAGAAAAAGAATAATGAGAGAAAGGATAGTACTTGACAGTTTTTTCAATAATTAAGCATTGCTTAGCCTGAGGGAAACGTTGATACATCAGATACACATCTCAGGAAGCACTGGTCTACTTTCTGAGTCATTGGAATGGCAGTATAAAGAGGCAAAGAAGTTTGTGAGAAATTAAGTGGCCTTTTTTTTATATATAAGCTGATAGTGACTGTTCCTCTATGACCCTGCAGAAAGACAGTGATCATGTCCCTTCAAGTCATGAAGCAGCAGCACTGTTTTCTGTATGATCAGTTTTCAGTGAACATGAATTCTTATAGACATGGTACAAGACTAGACTTCATGAAGTTTGCTTTTTTTTTTTTACCAGTGGAAGTTTGAATACAAACACCCATCCTTGCAGGGCATACCTGCTCTCCGTCCCGCAGAAAAGTCATCCTGTATTATGAAGTACTTATCTTTACAGATACCAAAGATGAGGCATATCAAACCTTAAAATTCCTCCAGGAATGTTCTCTATATTTTGTATACGCCACAGAAGTAGGCAATCTTTTTGGTCAAGACTCAGGGGAAAAAAAGAAAGTTTATAAATGACTACCTTTCAGGATGTATATTTGTTTGATCTCTTTGTGTCTCTTACACCAAAGGTTTTGCAAAGTTTTTGACAATGCCCACGCTCTAGTCATCATAGATGTGTCTTTAGTGTCTAGCAATTTTGTATACCTGTGAAGTCAGTGAAGACGCCAGCAAACACAGCATTCAGGAATTAAATCTTGGATGGATAGATAGATAGATAGATAGATAGATAGATAGATAGATAGATGAGATAGATAGATATATGCCATTCCTTATTCAGAAGGAAACTGAGATAATCTTTTCATCAGCTTTTTTTCTTTTTTTTATCCTCACCTGAGGGCATTTTTCCATTTTTTGTTCAGATAGAGTGGGAGGAAGAGAGAGAGAGAGAGAAACATCGATGTAAAAGGGACACATTGAGTGGCTGCCTTCCTCACCGCCCTGACCCAACCAGGGCCGAGGACAAACTACAACTGAGCTACGTGCCCCTAGCGGGAACTGCACCTGGGTCTCTCTGAACCGCAGGCCAATGCTCGAACCGCTGAGCCAAACTAGTCATCAGCTTTGAATTTTAAACTAATTGTGAAAAAAAAAGGTAACCTCCTGAAGAGTCAAAACCTCACAAATTCTAATAGTAACTCTTTTTTGGTCATAACCAAGCCTTATCCACAAAAATAGATTTTTTTTTTTGTCCAATAGCTACTGCTTTCTTATAATCCTTCAACAAATTACCCCATTCCCAGCATTAAGTCTGGAGTCTAAAATAATGTGTTCCTTTTCTTCCCTCCTAATTACAAATAGTTAAAATTTTCATATTAACTCATACATTAATTTGGAATTATATCACATAGTCTATTGTACCTTCTAGGAGCCTCTCACTTAGTCTTCCAGAGGTTGTCCCTCATCATATCATTAAATTACACACCACAAGGCAGGTACGTCAGACTCTCAAGAGGTGGTGTGAGCTCATTAAATACAGCACAACCATTTAGAGACCATGAAATCAACATTTTGTTATCTTTTTCACAAAAATAAACCTAATGTTATTATATATTAAATCACTACTAAATTCCTGAGCCTGGAAGGGAAAAAAATAAAGATTGATTTCTACCTTAAAGATGAAAGAAAAAGGGAATTAATAAATAATTCTACTTATATTCTACACTGAAGAACTTTCATAATGCCACAGTATGTTATGGAACATCCTTAAATAATTAGAGTAAAAGCCCTCAGATGAAATTCACTACAGCTATTATTCAATGTTTTTGCAATGATTACTAAGGAATTGCTAGGTTAGAAACAGTCACTGGGAACCTGTCTCGTTAGTCATATTGCATAGGGAAGAAATCTGGGGAGAATGACCATATCATGGGATTACTCCAACTCTCCTAGCTGAATCCTTTCCCAACCTGGAATCAGGATTATTCTTTAAATCAGCTTGAATTTCCTGGCTATACCCATAATTTGTTACTTTGGCTCTAAAAAGTACCAGAGGAGTTTGAGAAAAGAAGATAATGCATTGATAACTACAAATGGATGCTTTCCTTTAAAATAACTTTACATGAAGCTTGCATCTTAAACCGGATTCAATCCTGCAAAAACAAAGCGTACCAGAGTTTGAACTATGGCATGGTTGGTGGCATTCATATGGGCATTGAGTGGAAAAGAACATTCTCCATCACAATAAAATGCAGCATATCCTTCTGGTGCTATAATCCAGTCCTAAAACACGCACACACACAAAAAAAAAAAAAAAAAAGAAGAAGAAGAAAGCAATATCAAAAAATAATTCTTAAAAATACTCAAATATATATAAATCTGAATAGGTTTCTTTCTCTTCTTGGTCCAACAATTAGTCTAATAGGATAGCCTCCCCCGAGCCCTTGATTTATTTTTAAGTTGAAGTTTACAAAAAAATATATAAATATTTTCACAAGAAAATGTCCTCTGTAATTTCTCCCAAGAGGTTACTATGTACAATATTCATAGTATGTATAAATCCATGCATTCATGAATAAAACGATAATCATGAAATAGCATTCTAAATATTCTTTAAACAGGAAATGATGAACTCTGGAAAGTTCAAGTGAACCAGACAAAAAAAAGAGTATAAACTTGAGATAATTCTCATTACTTCTTAATAACTCATTCCTGGCTTTAGAAGCTTGACAACTTCCTAGAGCTTTGATATTTGTTTCTTGTACTGTTTTTCTTTTCATTCGTGCATTAACTTTACAGACTCTTTAGAAGAAATGAATTGGAGCAAATTCCTGAAAACTGCACATGAAAAATTTTAGGAAGCTAAAAAATTGGCATATGTAATAATTGCCCCAATATTTTTTTTCTCCAGAGAGGTAAAACTTGGCCCAAAGGTAAATTTTGAAAATGTTTACACTTCAATAATACTTTTCAATAAAATAGCTGATATTCTGAGAGTCACTGTAAAAAATAATATAATCTAAAAACTTCAATTTAAATGATTATTACACAAAACTATTGAAAACTATTTTGGTGAAGTTCTCCTTCTACCCTGTTTATAAGGCTGATCATATGTTTATGAAATATATGTGAAAGACAGCAATAAGTCTGAAGTGCAGAGAAAATTTTTTTGTCTGAATTTTTTTTTTTTTTTTTTTTTTTTTTTTTTTTTATCACAGAGACAGTATAGTCAACAATTCTATTTCTTAAGACTGACAGTTTGGGACCATTGGGGGCAAAGAGAATTTCTCTAGTTAATCTGAAAAAATTGTATTAAAATTAAAAGTTTGGAATATTTAAACAACAGCATTTTTTTCATTTTCTAAATATTATAATTTCTTCTTCAACATACTTCTTTTATTATAAAACCTAATAATTATGTTTGAATGGTGAAAGAATAAGGAAGACATAAAAATTATATGGATAATTCATATACTGAATAGTCAGGTTAAAAATAATTGATTACTGTATTGGAAAAATTACTGACAAAGATTACAAGTAACTCAGGATTTACCATAAAGCAGAAAATCGGAACCTGAATTGATTGATCATTCTTACCTGCCATCCCAGATCCCGGAAACTGACATAGAGTTCATGTTTCTTACAGGCTTGTTTTTGTTCACTTGTATTATAATCTGTAGATAAAAATCAGATTTTAAACAAATGGCAGTTTATCTGGTATATGTCTAATATTTCTTTGGTGAGGTCACTGCTAAAAAGAGACTGTGTTTCAAGTTGTATAATATGAGTTTGCATCTTAAAGGTAGAGCAACTTACTAACCATGTGAACATCAGGTAAGTGACTTGTCGCGAGTTTCTTCTTCTGTAAAATGTAGACGATACCATTTATCTTTTGGAGTTCAAAACAAGGATGTGGTTACACAGCCTGGTGCCTGCTACTCATTGAGTACAAATTGCTCAATGAATGATCATTCATTAATTTCTGCACACAGTATTGGCACTTCATATATTTATGTATATTAAATATGTATACAGTATTTTTCAACATCTCTTATGAGGCAGACACTGGGAAAGTACCACCTGGGATCATACTGAGTTGACTGCATTTTAATAAATATTTTAAACTCAGGATACCCAAAGTTGACCTTTTTGATCGACCCCCTAAAACCTATTCCCCCTCTAGACCTCTCCATTCTTAACTGATGGCAGGTCCCCAGTTTTATTTTTTTAATGTAAATAAAAACAAACAAACAAACAAATAATTTAGAGTAAAGAAAAAATACTCTTTTTTTCTCTTTCCCTCATCCAATCTTTCAGGAAATCCTACACGTTTTACCTTCAAATATATCCAAAACCCACCCACTCCCACCACCTACATGACTGGTCCTTGTCCAAGCCACCGTCATCTTACATCTGAATTATTGCAATATCCTCATTAATATTTTCCTTGCTTCTGCCTGGCTCCCCTACAACAAAGCAGCCAAGTAGACCTTTTAATAAGTCAACTGAATTGTTTCACTCCCCAGCAAAATGTCCCATGGTGCTTCCCCATACCCATGACAATGAAATATCCTCACAGTGGCTTATAAGGCCATATAATTTGCTCCCATTACTTCTCTGGCTTATCTCCTATTCCTGCTCCTCTTCTTCACTCCACTCTGGCCATGACATGTCCTTGCTATTTTGCACACAGGTCAGTTTTCTCTCACCTTAGGGCCTTTGTTCTCACTATCCCTTCTTCCTGAAAGGCTCCTCCCTTGGATATCTATACACCTAATGCCTATAGCTTGTTCAGCTCTTCACTTAAGCATTATCTTGTCAATGAGGCCTTCACTAACTACCTGACACTACCCGATATTCTTGATCTCCCTCCCTCTGCTCTAATTTTTTTTTTTTATTTCACTTACCCTCTTTAGTATTCTATGCCATTTACTCACTTATTATGTACATTGGTTCTTGTCTATTTCTTCCTACTAAAATGTCAATTCCACAAGGGTAAATCTCATTAGGTTGTATTTGGTTTACTGGCATGTCTCAAGTGTCAGGAACAGTGCTCGGCACACAGTAGGTACTCAATAAATATTTGAGGTGCGAATGAATGAATTCCTCAGAATATTACACAGATGATTTGAAACACAGGAAATACATTATTTGCATTAGATATTTTGGAACATAACCTGAAAAAAACATAACTTTTTATAATTGTTTAAAAATGTAAGGATAAATGAAGAACCCCAATCTTGTTTCTGAAATAAAATAAAATACTAAAGAAACAGAGACCTTTACAGAAAATATTTTTTATACTGCCTTACAGTTTGTTTATACTTTGTACCAATAGTATTTTAAAAGCTATCCCATTTTTATTATTTCCAATACTAAATATGAAAAAGGGAAACATTTAGGGTAAGGGAGACAGCAAAATAATTTATTTTCAAAGAAGGCAGCTAGGTTTTTCTCCTAGAAATAAATGCTACATTTACTCTGACAGTCATCTCTGGTAAATCAATGTAGCAGTTTACTGTGCAGAGCAGTCTGTCATAAGCTATCACCTTTCAGTTTAATTATCCTCAACCTCTAAAGAAAATGTAGGCACATCAAAGATCCCAGGAGCCTGTCTTAGTGGGCCCTGTCATCTCCTTTCATAGTTACTTCAACTCATTATTTATTTAATGTCAGTATAGAAAATAAGATAATGATTAAATTTTGAACTTGGAGACATTTTTCCTTCTAGTTCAGAGTTATTCCTACTGTGTAATTACCTTCATTAAAACAAATTAAATATGTTGATAATGATGGGAGATGGAAGAAAGAATTTATTTGAAACTCAGCACTCTTATTCTTTGGATAAACTTCTGTCTTAATCGAAATAGCATGGGCTCACTGCTTTTAGACAATGGACAAGCATACTGTAACACTACATACAACAACACAAAGTGGATACGTTCCTTTCATCATTTGTAGGGTATTAGTTTGGTTGCATAAACTTCTTAATATTTAGGATTTTTAAAAAGTCAGCTATATATTAGACCGGGGTTCAGCAAACATTATCTTTAAAAAGAAAGACAGTCAATATTTTAGGCTAGGAACTCTCCCTTGCAACAACTCAACATTACTGCTACAACATGAAGCACCCATGGACAATAGGTAAATGAATGGATATGGCTGTATTCCAATAAAACTTGACTTATACATAGTAAAATTTGAATTTTATGTGAATTCTATAGAAAATAAAGTATTGTTCTTCTTCAGAGTCTTTTTCAAACATTTAAAAATGTAAAAAAACATTCTTAACATTTGGGCCGTACAAAAATAGGCAATGGGCTGAATTGGGCTCTCAGGCCTTACTTTGCCAACTCCTGTGTTAGACAATAAGGAAAATATTTATCCTTTTATCCTTGTCTTAATTAAAAACATTGGATATGAATAAAGACATTGTAGCCAACAACACACACAAGTACATGTAAAAAGTCATAAACTATGTATGTGGTTATTCGAACTCCATGTTTATAAAAAAAAAAAAAAAGAAAGTAAAACTTAAATGTCAAAATAGATCTGTTCCATCTATGCAGCTTTTCATGCAGGCTAAGTGATGTATATAATGTAACATCGCATAAAGGTAACGAGCAATGAAATTTATAACAGAATCTGGTTCCAAGAGTCTGATTTCATAGAGCGTTAGGACCATATGCTTATTCTGTCAGAAATAAAAATTAATGGATACTGAGTGAAGTAAATGTTGTACCCAAACCAGCAAAGTCTGCAGTTAGGTTTACTATAAATGGTTGGCTGAATAAACTGTGGGAGAAAAGGCAGGGAAATTAGATTTATATCTTTAAAAAATATTGATTGGCAGCCTTTCAGATATTAAAATAAAATGAACATAATGCTACTGTTGATGAACCTACCCACAGATGAAGAGTCGTGCCAGAAATTACAAAAACATGCTGGTGCCACAGCCAACATTAAAAAAAATTGCTAACATTCCCCGACCACAATGTACATGTCATAAATACAGCTTTTCTCTGTTTTGTCTCTTCATGGTAATAATACTGGGAAATCGGTGCCAACATATCGAAAGCACGGTTGAATGTTTTATGCTAGTGGGAGACATGCAGGAGATGGCCGATCAATGTTCTCTCTCATCGATGTTTCTATCTCTCCCTCTCTCCTCAATAAAGTAAAAAAAAAAAAAAAGTATTTAAAACCAATAAATAAATAAATAAAATTTAGTATTAATTTCTTTAAGTGATGAAATATAGATAAATCTGTAAAAAAATGAAAAAAAATATCCAAAGTAGTACTTAACATTAAAGTCCATCAAGAGCTTAAGCCAAATAAGTGGGATACTGTGTTTCAAAGTAAAAGATGAGACATTAGCATTACCATGCTTAGTTCTCGAAAGGAAAAGGACATCAAAAATAAGTCAGCTCCTACAGCCTCAGGATTTTAATTAAGTTACAGAAAATGGAAGTGACGAATGAAGATACAAGAAGAGGTAAAAAAGCAGAAATAGTTCATTTTAATTTGGCCTTGAAGGTAGAGAAATTCATGATAAACCCAAAACAATATCAATTCCTCTCAACAATGAGGGATTTCAAAATCCAGTGAACTCCTCACTTGAATTCATGCACAAACCAGTAAGAATTAGTGGTATTTATTACTGTAGGAAAAACTGTGTTTTTCTCTGTATGAACGTGTAACACAAAAAAGATATCACAAAATAATAACTCTTTGGTGTGTTCTCTTAACTCCACTTAGCAAAGCATTGAAGTGGATGATCCAACCGTCCCACCTTAGAGCTTATTGACATAAAAACCTGTCCACAAACCCGAGTTTCAAATTGCCTTCCAGATGCCTCCGACTTACTATTTTTACTCCTGACTTCACTGCTTTGATGTTTACTATTTTGATTAATAGGATCACCAGTAACCTAGTGGCCCAAGCCAGAAAATTTAGTTATGTTTCTTCATTTTCTTTCTTTCTCTCTCATACCTTTCATTAAATCAGTCCTCAAAGCCTCACTCAATTGACCCGTTTCTAAACTAGTTAACCTGTTGGAAGCCCTTTGCACACTTGGTTACCTCCTACTTCTTCAACATCCTCTCCTGGTAACTTAATGTAGGACAACACTTTATCCCTGCTCTCCTCCATCTCTATTAGTCTTTGGTCCCTTTCACAGAATTGCCTTTTCTCCCTATTCTATACTTGAAGTGTTTAGGTTCCCACCGGAGGCTCCATCCGTAATGTTTTTCTCTTTCTTTGTTTCTCTGTGGTTCTATCAAGACCTATGCCTCATCTAACAATTTGGGCTCGTGTCGATGTCTTTTCTTACACCTTCCACTTATACTTGGCACTCCCATCTCCAGAGTCCCATTCTCACCAGCCCCAGCTGGCCTCATTCCACATGTTTTGGTTTCCACTTCCACTCTCTCCAATCTATAATCTTTATTGCTTGGGGTGTTAGACCAGGCCTCTAATCATATTTGGGATTTCAGTTTCCTCCCTTGGCATTCCATCCTTCGCTCTGAAGCCAAATTTAACTTTTAAAAATGCATATCTGATTATGACTCTCCTTTTTGAATTTCCTACATGAAGACACCATAGCTCCTTAGCATAACATTCTTACTCTTTATGACTTGGCTTCTTTATCATTTTCTCACCAATATAACCCTCC